AGTGGCCTTTCGCTGGGCCCCCGGCTTGCGCCATGGCGCGCGCTGATCCTGCAGCGCGCCGCCTGCTACTCCGCAGCTGCAAGTATGACGTCGTCCGACTGGCACTCCTTAAACTGGATTTTTTTTTCTCGTTCCAGCGGGCTACTGCCGATGCCCTGCCTGTCTTTCGTCTCCCTTTCTCGGCGTGGCTGACCGGCCCACTGGGGACGCACTGGCACCCCTTGGTTTTGGCCCTTGGCCTTGGCTCTTGGCTCCAGTTCCGCCTCTGGTCTGTGGTGCAGATGTCTGGAGGAGGGCCTCTCCAAATGCTGGGGGTCCCGCTCCGCGTTGCTACGCTGCCCCGTTGTGGGCCTGGTGGCGCTCCTGACGTAGATGTGTGGCATGCCTTCTTTTCCTGCTCAGTCTCGGCTGGGCTCAGGTCCTCTCCGTGGTCTCGCCTCCTCTTGTCTCCTCCCTCCTGTCCTGCCCAGGTTTCTCGGTTTCTCTTCCGCCAGTGCCGCCCGCCAGAGGGGCGCCGTGCGCATGTGCATTCTGGTGCCGCGGCCGTGCTCAGGACTGGCGCCACGCAGCTCTAGGCCGGGCCTGTTTACGGGGCGGTGCTGTTAGTGGCGGGCCCGGCGTGGACCCTTGACCGGTGCTTGGGCGGTGGGGTGCCTGGCGAGCGTCGGCACCGTCGTGGCCTGCGCCCAGGGGGGCTACTGCGCAGGGCGACCGTGGACTGTGCGCTCGCGGTGGCAAAATGCGTGTTGGATTTTTTGCTGTCCCTGCCTCTTGCGCACGCTACCCACCGTGCCTGCTTGCCTGTCCTGCTTCTCCTTCGCCTCGCGGCTTCTCTTGCCTGCCCTGTGTCCTTGCGTTGCGTCCTTCTTCCGGCCTCGCTGTCGTTTTGCGGTCCTGCGTGTCCTCTTCTTGCCGCCTCGTCTTCTGTCTGCTGCCTTTTTTGCAAGATGGCGTCGCGCTCTTACGAATTTCCCGGTCTACTTTGCTGTCGTCGCCGCCGTTCTGCCGTCGTCCTCGTTTCCGTCGTCGTCCTTGTCGTTGTCGTCGCTGTCGTCGTCGTTGTCGTTGTCGTCTGGTGCTGCGTCGTTGTGGGCACGTGCAGGGGCACTTCGCTTGCATTTTGTCTCCTTGTCTCCTACTGCGCACGTGGTTCAATTACACCATGGTCACGATGTCACTGTTCGTGCGGGCACCCGTGCGGCCGCGGTGGCCTGGGTGCCAAGCATCGGGGGCGTGCTGGCAGCCGGCTAGCAGGTGGGCCGGCGGTGTCTGCGAGCAGCAGTTCGGCCAGGTCTGGTTCGTCCTCCCCGGCGGCCCCCCTAGAGCCAGGAAGCCTTCGCCCGTTAGGGTGGCCATGGGCGCTTCTTGGGCCGCGACGCTCACGAGCCCCCACCAGCGGTTGGTCCACGCGAGATCCGCTGAGCAGCGGAGGAAGGCTGGTGCGGCTCGCGCTTTCTGCTTGGCCAGCATGCGTACCAGCTGGAGTGAGTCTCGACCCCACCGTCCGCCGACCTCGCAGGAGAGGACCATGAGGCGGCTTGGTTGGCCGGTCGTGAGTTCATGGTGCCTGCGTCTTTTGCGCTGCCCGGCCTCTCGTAGGGCGGCCCCGTCGGTGTGGAAAGTGCGCGACCGGTGCCAGCCGTCCCTGCGGAGGGGGGACACAATGGTGCTGTCGCAGCACAGGGGGCTCCATTTGGCGAGTTGCCGTAGACGACCATATCTAGCTGTCGGCGGTCTTGTGGGTCGTGGACGACGGCGTTGGTGTCTCGCAGCAGCTGTTGGGGAACTACCCTCCCGCCTGCTTCTCTTGCGACCCTCGCCCGCGCTCGTTCAAGCGTCTTCGCGCGTCTGGCAAGGAGCCCAGTGCGTGGGCACGCAGCCAGGTGGTCTCCAAGCGTGTCTGGCGGGGCTCTGCAGCCCGGGTGGCTGGCGGCCGCCCACCTGTGTGGGAGGATCGGCAGTGGGATTCTGAGGCGCCGGCGCATGGCCGCCTGGAACCGCGCGGGCTTGAACGTGTGCCCCTCGGTGGTGGGCAGCGTGTGTAGCCAGTAGGCAGTTCTCGGTCCTGAGGGTGGCCTCAGAATGGCTTGTTTCGCTTGATGAGGCTTGGCATGAATACGTTGTTCCTGTAGTAGCTGTTGCGTGTGGAACCAGCGTGGATCTGCCAGCCGTGCTGCCATTCCCCTGGTTCGGCGGCTTCAGAGCGCGGCGGTGGTTCTGGGCGAAGCCTGTGGAGCGGGTCGGTCTCGGTCGGTCGCTGGAAGCCCTCGGTTTCGAGCGCCTGTGCGGCCTCGGCGGCTGCGTCGAGATTGCCCCTGCGGCCTGGCTGGTTGCCGTCGAGACGGTTCCTGATCGCAGCCGCCTCGACAGGGCGCCGCTGATGGAGCATGTGGGGCGCGTCTGCCCACGCGCCTCGGCAGACCGCCGGGGTCGTACGCCTGGCGGCGCTTTGCAGCCCGAGTCCTCTGCGTCGTCCTGGCATTGCTGCCGATGCGCGCGCCCGTCGCTCCTCCTCTTGCGACATTTGGGGGTCCCCGGGGAGGTGGCGCAGGGTGGTCCACATGTCTCTGTCGTGGCTTCTCGCGTGCTCGGCAATTTCTCCGGGCGGTTGCGTTCGTAGCAGGTGGTTGGCTTGCGGGGAAGCGTAGAGTCAAGCGGAGTGCCCAGAAGCCAGCGCCCCGTGGGGAGCGAGTGCCAAGAGGGCTTGGGCCAGCGCGCCCCCCTGCTCCACTCCTTCGCCCTGGTGCACGTCGTGTACGGTCCCCGCTTCGTCCTGTCAGAGGTAGGTGGAGTCCTGCCAGTGCCGCATCTTCACGAAGGGGATGGGGCTGGCCAGCTCGGGGCATGCTTGAAACCCTGGGAAAAACGCAGACCGCGCCGCGTGGTCGAAGGCCCCGGTTCCATCGATGCAGACTGTGACTGCCTCATCATCGTGACCCAGCACTGACCTCAGCAGCATGGCGGCGCAGGGGCGCCCACGCAGGGACGCCAGGGGGGTATCTCACGATTTCGTTGGCGCCCAGATTGCGGGAATGCCACGGGCGGTTTGCCTTGTTGCGCACCCAAGCATCCTGTGCTATCGGGAAAGATTTAGAGAATATTTTGGGCGAGGCGCTGATTTTCGCACCACCAAGGGGGTCGCCAGGGCAGCGGGGCATCTCGCAGTTCCGTTCGCGCTCAGATTGCGGGTCTGTCTCGCTTGGTTTGTTTGTTTGCGCCAGGCGCGTGTCTTCGCACTCCAGGGGGGGCACAGATTGCGAGGATGTCTCTGGCAGTTCGCCGGTTTTGGTGGCCATGCCCGCCTATGTCCAGAGCGTGCTCTGAGGATGTATTCGGGTGAGGCGCTGGTCTCAGCACCGCCAGGAGCTTAGATTGCGGCGATGTTTGAATGGTTTGCCTGTTTGACCGCCCCGATGTCAGCCGTTTCTGCAGCAACCTTGGAGGGTCTCTGGCGAGGCGACCATTCTTGCGCCCAGGGGGTCCAGATTGTACGGGGGGCTCGAGCGGTTTGTTTGTTTTGGTGGCCAGGCTCGTGTGCGATCAGGTCGGACCCTGTTTTATCAGAACCTTTGGCTCCAATGTAACTGTTTGACGGCACCACGAGGCACCAGGAGGCGCCAGAGGGCCACACGAGTTGCTCCAATCTTACGCGTGCCATTTCTTTTCCTATAGGTTGGGCCTCTCCTGGAGCACGACTCCTTTGTCTCTTACGTGTGTTCTTGTAGATTGTTCTTCTCTGGTGACTCCATTCGACGGTGCTTACTACATGTTCCTCTAGATGCCCCCCTCCCCATGCTGTGCGAAAAATGTATGTCTGTCTTTCCGTCTGTAAGTATGGGTGCCTGCCTGCTTGCATGCACGCATGCATGTATGTGTATACATGTATGTAGGTGCTTACGTGCGCATGTCTGTATGTATGTACAGTAGGTTTGCGTCGTGTCGACCAGCGGCGACCCCAGCGCGGGCGTTCAAGGTTGAACGCCGCCGGCGACCCAGAATCGATCGATGTTGAACGATCGGACGTTGCGGCAGCGGCCGATCGTTCAAGGTTGAACGATCCCCGCGGTGTCAGAAACCAACGTCGGGGTCGACACGATGCGAACCTGCCGTACGCTTGTATGCATGTCAATGTGTATGCCTGTATGTACTTTCGTATGTAGGTATGTAGGCATGTGATGTATGTATGTATGTATGCATGCATGTATGTATGCATGTGCGTATCTCTTTATGCATGTATGCATGTCAGTAGGTATACGTACATGTATGGAGGTATGTCTGTATGTCTGTCTGTCTGTATGCTGTCGCTATGTCTGTAGGTATCTGTTTACATATTTATGTGTACATAGTTCAGTGTTCCACACGTATTTGAATCCTCGCCGTCGGTCCCGTTGCCGCCCATCGTGTCCGATGGCCACCTTTGCTCAAGTCTTTTTCCAGGTGATGAAGGACGCCCTCCGCCCCCTAGTCGACGCGGGGGTTGCGGGCGCCCGAGAGCTGGCCCGCGCGGGTCTGCACGCTGGCGCGTCGTGGGCCCTCCTCCCGAGCTGCCCATTTGTGCCGCCGTGCCCTCTCTGCCCCGCCGCGCCGCCGTGCCCCGCCTGCCCGGGGTGCCACTGCGCCTGTGGCAAGGCGCCAGACGGGCCCGGGGCGCCGGGCGGCGGAGGGGGCGAGGCAGTCTGGCTGGGCTCCCCCGAGGCCGCGCAGCAGTGCGACGCGCTGGCGGCGGCGGTGCGGGACGTGGCGGAGCGGAGCACCGTCTGCCACGACGCCGGCTGGCTCTGCGTGGCGTCGCTGGTGCTGGGGCTCGTGCTCGGCTGTCTCCTGACGCGCGCCTGGGTGACGGGGCCCGAGAGCGATGGCGCTGGTGGAGGTGCGCGGGCCCCGCTCATCGGCGGGGCCTTCGGCGAGGCTGATCCCGGGATGCCGAGTGATGGTCCGCTACGCCGAGGACGACCTGGCACGAGCGGATCCTCCTGTACCCGGCCGCCTCGGACGTTGAGGACGGGGCGTGCTGGGTCGTCCTGACCCCAGACGGCGACATGTACCTCGAAGAGCTAGAGGGCGGCTCGCCGGAGGACAGCCCCGTGGAGTGGCAGCTCGTGGCACGAGACCTGCGGCTGCCGCCAGGACTGGGCCGGTCCTACCGCTTCGGAGAGGACCAGCCCGGCGAGCTGCGGGGCCTGTACCGCCGGGCGTGCGCAGCCTCGACGGCCGACGCTCGCAGTCGCGGGCTGCAGCTGGCGACGCCCCAGGTGATCCGCTCCCAGGAGGGCCGCGATGTCTCGGTGGAGGCTGAGCTCGGGCGCAACTTCTTCGGCGGTCGGCGGGTGACTGGCAAGCAGGGGATGCCTGCCGCTGGAGACGCGCTGGCGGCCGGGACGGACGTGCCTGGCGACCAGGTGGCGGACGGCGGCGACGCGCTGGCTGTCCCCGCGGTGCCCAACTCAGCGGGGGGCACCGTGACGCCTCCTCCGTCAGGGCACTTCTGGCGCGCCGCGGAGCCTGATAGCTCGCGGCCCATCGAGATCGGCGACTGGGTTGGCACCCCGAGTCTGGCCTTGCACGACCGCGGGCTGTTCGAGGTGGCGCCTGGGCGGGCCATCGTGGTGCGCCTCGCTGCCCTGGACAAGGGCGCCTTCGCGGCCTCCCTCAGGCGCGCTGCCTCGGTCGGCGATGCCCCCGGCGGCGTTGCGGCCGCGACGGGCGACGCCCGCGCCCTCCCTGTGAGGACGGGGCCGCGCGGCCGGGGGCGCGAGTGGCGGGGCGTGGTGGACTCGTGTGAGGAGGAGCCGTTCGGCGACTTCCCTGTGGCGGGCCCGAGGTCGACGTCCTGATGTCTCGACTTCCTGCGGAGGCGCCACACCCCGACGGACCACCACCTGATGTTCAAGACGACGGCCCGCCTCCAGATGGAGCAATGGAGAGTCCAGGAGCATGAGCAGCTGATGAAGTACCTCGAGCTGGCGGGCACCTACGACCAGCTCGACCTCAGCAACTGCGCCTTCGCGGAGGCGATTCTCCGCCGGGCGCAGACCATCGATTGGGCTTATCATGATCGGCTTCGAGAGGCAGACTCCGCGAGCTCGAAGGACAAGATGAGCCCCGAGGAGTTCTCGGCGTTCAGTGGCTTCAGCAAGGCGGGCGACCTCCTCATGGTGGCCCCTCAGCTGCTGGAGCATGTCAAGACGCAGGTCGAGAAGGATGCCGCCATCATGAAGAACATTCGGAAAGCCAGAGAAGAACGAAAACTCCGCCGCAAGGGCCCCAAGGCAGGGGACAGCGGCGGAGGCAAGGGATGATGCATCAGCGGGGGGGGGGCCATCAGGCGGCCGCCCCCCCCCCCGGACCTCAAGGCCGCCAGGATGGAGGGCGATCCATCATCCATACCTGGACGAATTCAACCCGATTATGCAGCTGATCGTCGGGACCTTTTTCCTGTCCCCCTTCTGCGAGTGGACAGCCAGGCGCCCTCAGAGGGCGCGGTGTGCCGCAGTGTGCGGCGGGGCTGCTTCGGCGTGACGCCATCGTGCAGGAGTGCAATCGCGTCATCGGGGCCTTGAACGACCTGGCCGGGAGGCCCCAGGCGCCAGGCGCCCGGGGCCTGGCGGAGCGACTTCCCCATCGGCTGGTGCACGAGCGCGTCCGCCGCGCCGCAGTCGAGCTGGGCCCGCCCCCACCCGACCTCACTCCCGCGGGGGCCCTCAGAGAGCTCCGCGGCGCCAGCGTGTACGAAGATCTCGACTCGCCGGTGGTCAGCTTCGACGATTCCCTCGTCTCGCTGCCGGAGGCCGGCAACATCCCTGTGCCGCTCGGGCAGCTGCTCCAGGATGAGGGCGATTTCGATGTCGAGGCCTCAATACACGAGCAGCTTCTTCGAACTGAGGAGGCAGAATCCAATCTTCTGGCAGCCCCGAGGCAGCCGTACAAGGACACGAATTTGAGAGGAGACCCGCGGGTGTACGCCCGCTTGGTCAAGCGGCTCGCCGACGCTGGGATGGTGACCTACACGGACACGCCGCGCGAGAGGTGCGGCCTTTTCTTCGTCCGTAAGAAGTCTGGCAAGCAGCGCATGGTGGTCGACTGCCGTCGAGCCAACTGTTGGTTTCAACGGTCTGCATCTGTTGCGCTAGCCACCGGTTCTTCCCTTGGCGAGTTGTCCGTGCCCGAGGGCAAGGAGCTCTATGTCGGGCACGTGGACATCTGCGACGCTTTTTTACCACTTCGGCCTGCCCGAGGCTTTCCGGGGCTACTTCGCCCTGCCGTCCGTGAAGGCCGGGGACGTGGGGATGGTGAGGCTTCGAGAGCGGCCGCTACAGCCTGGGAGTCGTGTCTGGCCGGTGCTGGCCGTGCTCCCGATGGGCTGGTCGCACGCCTTGTACTGGTGCCAGACCATCCACCGTTCCATAGTCAGCTCGATTCCCGAGCTGAGTGATGTGCCTTTCATTGCGGACAAGAGCGTAGTGCCGGGGCTGCAGCCGCTGGCAATGAATATATACGTTGACATTTTTTTGGCCTTGGGCACCGATCCCGAGGCGGTGCGGCGTGCCGTGACCTTAGTCAACGCGGCCTTGACACAGAAGGGTCTTCCAACTCATGAGGTGTGCATGTGCGATCACGATGCCGACATTCTTGGCTGGGAGATCCGGGGAAGAGAGTGCCAGATTCGACCCAAAAGATCAAGGCTGTGGCGACTTCGGCTGGCTCTTGACTGCCTGGTCAGCCGCCGTACCGTGGACCCGAGAGACGTCGAACAAGTGTTGGGACATTGCACCTTTGTCGCCTTACTATGTCGAGAGCACTTGTCCATCTTCAATTCCGTGTACTCGTTCGTGCGGAGGCTGCGCCATTGTACCGCTGTACCCCTCTGGGAGTCAGTTCGCTGGGAGCTGAACGCGTTCTCGAGCCTTCTGGGGTTGATCTCGCGAAGTATGTTGGTTGCTTGGAGTCCGACGGTGGTGTGCAGTGACGCGTCGTTCTGGGGCTTCGGGCTGGTCAGCAAGGGCTTCAGTGAGGACCTCGCGGGCTCCGTGGGCGTTTTCTCGGAGAGGTGGCGGTTCTTGGAGGGCAACAACGTGCAGTCGAGGGCTTGGGCTGGAGTTGGCGATGGGCCCCTTGAGAGCTCCAAAGATTTCCAGGACATCGTGGGCTCCGAGGAGGCCTGCATCAACGTTCGCCAGTCGGCGGTCAGTCGGCTGCCTGATGAGTTTCGGGAAGAGGGTTGGGCTGTCGTGGGCTCGCACAAGTGGGGGGGCCCGCCCGACAACATCGTGGAGGGGGAGGCCCGGGCGCTGGCGTTCGGGGTTAAGCACATCTGCCGATCCACAGCGTCTTTTGGGCGCCACCACCTCCTCCTCTCGGACTCGCTGTCATCCGTCTTGGCTTTGAGCAAGGGGCGCTCTTCGGCGCCAGGGGTCGGCGGGGCGCTCCGCGCCATCGCTGCCCATGTCGTGGCCGCAGGCCTCCGCCTCAGCGCCCGATGGCTGCCCAGCGAGTGGAACTTCGCGGACGGTCCGTCGCGAGGGCTACGGCATGCTGGATATGCCCGAGCAGGAGGCGGAGGCGCTGACGCGGAGGCGACCTCGGACGGGGGCGGTCGATGCCAGGGAGCTGCCGCGGACGCGGGCTCTGATGAGCCCGCCCGCTGCGACGGCGCCTCGGCTACGCCGCCTACTGGACGGTGTCGGGCCCACGGGCCCGGCTGGCTCCCCGCCGCCCTCGGACTCGACGAACCTGGAGACCTCGCAGGCCGTGAAGCGGAGGAAGCTGTCTCGGAGGTCTGCGAAGCTCACCGAAGAGGGCTCGCGGGACATGTTGAGGAGGAGCACCGTGCGCACCCAGGCCGTCAGGACCCGATGCCAGCAGCTGGACGACGAGTTCGACGAGTGGATGGACGAGCAGGGCCTGCCGCGCCGGCCTCGCTTTTCGGTCGACCACGGGGAGGTGGGGCCGCTCTCGGCCTCGGACGCCGAGAGTATCGACCTCGCGCTCGCCGAGTGGATGCTGTCGCAGTACCTCGAGGGGGTCGACCACTGGGGCGGGGTGCAGATGCTGGCGGCGCTGCAGTGGAGCGACCCGCGGCTCGGCCGCGACGGGTCGGCCTCGCTGCCGGCGGCGCGCCAGACGCTGCGCGGATGGAGGGTGCTGACGCCCGCGCGGGCCAGGCTGCCGCTCCCCGAGGAGCTGGTGGCGGCCATCGCGTGCGAGCTCGTCCTCATGGGCCAGTGGGAGGCGGCCGCCTGCGCGGTGCTGTCCATGGTGTTCTACATGAGGCCCGGGGAGTGGGGGCGGGTGCTGGTGCGCCACGCCATCCCGCCGCGGGCGGCGGGCAGCCTGGCCCTGCGGCACTGGGCGCTGCTGCTCCACCCGCACGAGGGCGAGGACGCGAAGGCCAGCAAGACCGCCGAGTTCGACGAGAGCTTGGTCCTCGACCTCGATTGCGACCAGTGGCTGTCGGGGGTGCTCCATCGCCTGGTGGCCGGCCGCAGCGGGGACGAGCCTCTCTTCCGCGTCGGCGTCGCGGAGTTCGCGGCGCTGTTCAGGCGGGCGGCGCGGCGGCTCGGGGTCAAACCCGAGCCCATGCCGTACCTGCTCCGCCACACGGGCGCCAGCAGGGACTTCGTGAACCAACTGCGGCCGCTCCGCGAGGTGAAAAGGAGGGGGCGCTGGAAGACCGACACGTCGGTGCGGCCCTACGAGAAGGGCGGGCGTCTCAGCGAGCAGTTCGCCCGCCTCCCAGGACCGCTCCAGAGGCACGCCCTGCGGTGCCACAGCGGGCTCCCCGAGGTGCTCTTAGGGAGGCTCGCTGCCCCGCCGTTCCAGGTGTGCTGAAGGTGCGGGTGTTCTTGGAAGTGTTCTCGGGCTCAGGGCGTCTCAGCCGTGCCATGAGTCGACGCGGGTACCGCGTTTTGGCTTGGGACATCCGTCACGGGGCTGAGTGCGATCTGAGGGACCCCGCCAAACGCCGACTTGTGCGCGGCTGGATCTTGGGGGGTCTGGTGCTTGGGTTGCATCTCGGCACTCCGTGTGGGAGTTGGTCGAGGGCCCGCGATATTCAACCAGGCCCCCCGCGCCTCCGCTCTGATACGCACGTTCTTGGTCTGCCTGATTTGAGTGCTTCCTCCCAGTCTGCAGTCGATTTTGGGAATCTAATGCTGAGGTTTTCAATGTCGCTCCAGCGCATGGAAGTGCTTTGCTCTATGGAGAATCCAAGCACCTCGCGAATCTGGCTCGCCCCCGCTGTTGCGTCTCTCATTCGGTCCAGAGCCTGGACTCTTGTCAACACTGATTTTTGCCAATGGGGCGCGCCTTGGAGGAAGCGCACATTTTTTTTGGCCGCCCACCTCGACCTCTCGCCACTTGTCAAAGTATGCAAGCGTGTGCACGGGTGCTGCAGCCGCAGCGGTCGCCCCCGCCAAGTCCTTGAGGGTCGGGCCCCCGACGGTCGATTTTGGACCGCCGTCGCCGAAGCTTACCCCTCGCCCTTGTGTCGTCAGTTGTCGCTCCTCTTCGATGATGCTATCGTTTACCGAAGGGCGACCGCTATGCATAATGTTATGTCTAGATTGTAAATGAATTTTACGGCCTCTGGCCATTCGACTGTTTTGGGCTATTGTCTGTTTTGGCGTGTTCGATCTAATCACGATTTAATCCTGGTTTGATCTGGCTCGGCCTATGGCGTGTCGCTGCCTCTCCAGAGAAAACGGAGCGCCACCTTGTATAGTGGGCGCTTCGCGCATGGTACGGCCAGACGGCGGGGGATACAGTTCAGTGTTCCACACGTATTTGAATTCTCGCCGTCGGTCGCGTTGCCGCCCATCGTGTCCGATGGCCACCTTTGCTCAAGTCTCCCTCCCTCCCTCCCTCTTTGTTCTCTTTTTCCTCTGCAACCTCAGCCTGCAGATGACGTGTTCGACCTAATCTCGAGTTGATCCTGGTTTGATCTGGCTCGGCCTATGGCGTGTCGCTGCCTCTCCAGAGAAAACTGAGCGCCACCTTGTATAGTGGGCGCTTCGCGCATGGCACGGCCAGACGGCGGGGGATACATATATAGATGCCTGCATGCATGCATGTATGTAGAAAGGCGGGTAGGTATGTAGGTACATTGGGTATGCATGTATGCACGCATGTAGACGTGCATGTATGTGTCTATGTATGTATGTCAGTATGTCTGTACGCATGTCTGTATGTCTTTATGTCTGTATGTATGTCTGTATGTATGCATGTCTGTTTGCCTGTATGCCTGTACGTATGCATGTCAGTGTGTATGCATGTCTGACTGCATGTATGTATATGTTTAGGTATATCTAAATGTATATGTAGATGTGTGTATGTACTTCTGTGTGTTTGTCTGTCTATATGCATTTATGTACGCATGTGTATACGTATGTCTGTCTGGGTGCCCGTATGTATGTATTTCAGTCTGTCTGTCGGTCTGTATGTGTGTATGTTTGAGCGGCAGTCTGTCTGTATGTATGTATGTATGTATGTATGCGTGTCAATCTGTATGTATCTATGTCTTTATGCCTGTATGTCTGTATGTCTGAATGTGTGAATATGTACGTATGTCGGTCAACTCTTCTGTCTGTGTGTATGAATGCCTGCATGCACGAATGTATGCATGTATACATGTATGTGTGTGGATGCCTGTATGTCGGTTTGCCTGTCTGTCTGCCTGCCTGTCTGTCTGTATGCTTGTATGTACGTACGTATGTTCAGATGTATGTACAGATGCATGTCTGTATGTATGTTCGTATGTATGTGTGCATGAATGTATGTCTGTATGCATGTGTGTATGTACGTACGTACGTACGTTTGTTTGTTTGTTTGTTTGTTTTATTGTTTGTTTGTATGTAGCCATGTATGTATTCATGCATGTATGGACATACGCATGTCTGTATGCGTAACTGCATGTCTATGCATGTATGCATGTATGTATGTTTGTATGTATGTATGTACATCTGTATGTATGTATGTAGATATGTATGTATGTATGTGTGTGTATGTATGTATATATGTATGTATATATGTATGTGTGCATGTATGTATGTATGTATGTACGGACGTACGTACGTACGTATGTATGTATGTATGTAGGTATGTATATGTGTATGTGTATGTGTATGTGTATGTGTATGTGTATGTGTATGTGTATGTGTATGTGTATGTGTATGTGTATGTGTATGTGTATGTGTGTGTGTACGTACGTGCGTATGTATGTATGTGTGTCTGTCTGTCAGTCTGCCTGTGTGTATGTAGGTATGTAGCTAGGTTGGCAGGTAGGTTGGTCTGCATGCATGCATGCATGCATGCATGCATGCACGTATGTATGTATGTATGTACGTATGTATGTATGTATGTATGTATGTTCGTTTACATGCGTGCATGCATGTATGTATGCATGTATGTATGTATGTATATGTCTGTTTACGTATATGTATGTATGCGTATGCATGTATGTATATGCATGTGTGCACTTATGCATGTTTGCAGGTATATACGTATGCATGTATGCGTGCATGTACGCGTGCTTAATTGTGTGTATGTATGTACGTACGTATGTACGTCTGTATGCATGCATGTATGTATGTGTGTATGTTTGTGTATGCGTTACGTATGTGCCTTCCGAGTGCCCCTCTCTGGTGACTGCTGGCCTCGGTGTTTCACGGGTGTTCCTATAGATCGGGGCCTTCCTGTGGCACAATTTCTGTCTGTGTGTGTTGCGTATGTTCCTATATATTACCCCACTCCTGTGGCTCCAGTCCTATCTGTTCTGCGTGTGTTCCCATGAGCTGGGCCTTCCGTGGGGCACTAGTTCTTAGTAGCGTTCTACGTCTGTTCCCGTGTCATGCTTGGGGCTGGCTCCAGTCCTGGGTGTTTTACGACTGTTCCTACACATGGGGCCTCTCCTCTCCGTGGCGTCGCTGGCTGGACTACGCGGTCCAGCCACCGCGCGAGGCGCTGCCAAGGGGGCCGTGGTCCTTGGCGCTCAGCGAACACGTGGGGGGGGGGGGCTGCGTGCTGGGCTGGGCCACCGGAGCGCATGCGGGCTGCGCCGCTGGGCCCTCTCGTTTTGGGGGAGCTCCCTGGAGGGGCACGGGGCCCGTGAGCGGCGTGCCGACCCTGGGCGTGCGGGGGATCGCTGCGGGGCGCTCTCGGGCCGTCCTGGGGCCGCCCGCGGGCCGAACCAGGCCCCAGGACGCACCCGGCGGGGGCGTCTTCCGACCGCGCGCGCCGACCGGGGGGCTCGGCCCCAGGGGCAGCATAAGGGACCCTGCAAGGCAACGAACAGGGGTGCTTTCCTCCGGGCGCTGGCCACGGCATCTCCGGGTAACTCGTGAGCGTGGGCTGCTGCTTGGAGGGTTTGCGGAGGCGAGAGGGACGACAGGCAAGGGTCCTCGCACGCCGACGGCAAGTCTCTGTTGCCTTCGCTTCTCTGTCTCGAGAGGTCGTGGCTTCGGGAGCGCGGTCAGTCTTCCAACCATTGGATCGTGCTCTCGGGGGCGCCCATTATGTTGCGAGTGTTCGAGGATTCGGGGGCGCGGGCCACTGATGTTGCGGGAGGGTCCGTGGCCCCGGGGGCGCGGTGCTGCAGGCTTCGTGCAGAACGGGTCGTGGCCTCCAGCGGCGCGAGTCTGCTGGCCATGGCATGGGGGTCGTGGCGCTCGGGAGCGCAGAGTCACTGTGCTGCTCAGGGGATACGATCCGGAGGTAAGAATGTCGGTAGTCCGCTTGGGTTCATGAGAGTCGCGCGAGTTTAACAACCTCGTACATCAGCGTCTGATAAACTGGGCAAGTCGGTGCTTCTTACTAGGTGCTTCTTACTAGAGCCTGATGCGTGAGGCAATAGGGCGTCCTGGTTGCCTGTTTGTGCACCTGCTGAGAATGTAGCAGTGCAGTGTTGTATTTGCAGTAGCTCAGGAAATATATGTCCTAGTCTGAAGTCGGGCCTCTCCCTCTACAGGAGTGATCTTAAACAATAGTCGAACATAGTATGGGGACGATTTGATGGACTATTTTTAAGCATTATGGGAGTATTTGGTGTGCGTATTTAAAATTATTCGCCCAGAATCCCCCTGGAGGGGGACAGGCCTGACTTAAGCCTAGTCAGGTACATGTGAGACATTCAGGAGGAGGAGGAGGAGGAGGAGGAGGAGGAGGAGGAGGAGGAGGAGGAGGAGGAGGAGGAGGAGGAGGAGGGAGGAGAGGAGGAAGAGGAGGAGGAGAGGAGGAGGAGGAGGAGGAGGAGGAGGAGGAGGAGGAGCAGCCTGCGAGGCTGAGGTTCAAGCAGCTGTGCGGCCGAAGGTTTTTTTGTTTTTCCATGTTTTGGCATTTCTTCTCGTGCGCAGCTTGGCTCCCCACAGGAGCAGGGCTCGTTTCGACTCCTCCGATTCGGTTCGATTCTATTTCGATGGCTTCCGATTCCGATTCGATTCGACCTGGGATTCCGATTTGGGTTCCTGTCTCTTATTGGAGGCATATCAGCCTGCCGATTTCTGGCGATTCGACGTTTCCCGACGCGGCTGCCGCTTTTCGCCGATCCGACTCATGTCGACTTCCGATCCGACTTGTCGATTCGATTTTGGGCTCTCCTGCAGGTGGGGCTGGCGGGCATTTTTTTGCGTCCAGTGTTAAGGCGGGCCTGTCCCTCAAAAGGGGGACTCTTCAGACCTAGTCCAAACAAAATACAGGGACGATGTTTGGAGCATTAGTTCGACCATTTTGGTACATATTTTTGGGACTATTTTTTCTCCTTCGTCCACCATTCCCCCGTAGGAGGACAGGCCCGACTTGAGTCTAGTGCAGCGGCACGCTAATACCCTCATTCTGTGGGGCTGGCAGCGTGCACGCGCCAAGCGCAGCGGGCGTAAGCGCAATCGTGCCTCAGGCGCAGTGGGATATGTGAGCGTATTGTTGTTGGCTACGAGTTCGCGTTGCCGGGCGACCAGCCAGGATTTGGCAACATTCACGGGCAATCGATTTGTGCTCATTCGTTCTCTCTGTTCGATCGCAGGGTTGATGTTTTCCTAATCGTTCCCCATCTCCGAACTTCGGGTTTCTTGTTGTCACTGGGACGCCTCCGCCTCCTCACGCCCGCCCGCCTCACTCGTACTCATGTTGCACATACTCGGCTTCACCCGCATTCAGACTCACTCAGATGCAGACTCGCTCATACTCAGAACTCTCTCTCTCTCTCTCTCGCCACACTCACACCACCAATATTCAGACTCCCGCGCACTCCGATGCACTCACACTCAGCCTCCTCACGCTCAGATCGCACGTCATCAGACCCAGTTGCACTCCGATGCACACGCTCAGACTGACTGACGCTCAGACGCATTCATGTTCATATTCATATTCATACTCAGACTCATTCCCAGTCATATTCATTGATACTCCGACTCACTCTCAGTCAGACTCACTCTCATGCAGACCCGCACATACTCAGACCCGTTCAAATCTTTATACACGCATCGCTCACAGAGTCAGAGCCACATGCTTATCGCGATGCAGCAGGCGTGCGGCCGCCAGGGGTGGGGACATTTGCCCTTTCGCTCCCATATTGTGGGGACGTGTCAGGCGGTTTGCCTGTTTGGTTGATTGGGTTTCTGTTGTTTTAGGGCCCCATGTTCACCGCGATGCAGCAGGTGTGGGATTTGAGCACCCCAAGGAGGAGTCGCCAGGGGTGGGGACAGTCGCCCATTGGCGCCCAGCTTGTGGGGATATCTCAGGCGGTTTGCCTGTTTGACTGATTGGACGGCTGTCTTTTCAGGCCCCCATGCTCGTTACGATGTAGCAGGCGTGGCATTTGAGTGCCCCATGAAGGAGCAGCCAGGCGTTGGCGCTCAGATCGTGGGGATGCCTCGAGCGGCTTGCCTCTTTGGTCGATTGGACTACGGTTTTTCCGAAGCCCCATGCTCATCGCGATGTAGTGTGCGCGGCGTCTGATCACCCCAAGGCGGAGCCGCCAGGGGTGGGGACATTTGCCCCCGTTCGCGCCCAGGTGGTGGGGATGCCTCGGGCAGTTTGCCCGTTCGGTTGATCAGGCTTCTCTCTTGTCAGAGCCCCGTGCTCGTCGCGATGCAGCATGGCGTGGCGCCAGAGCGCCTTCGGGGGAGCCGCCATGGGGAGGGGACGTTTGCCCGTTCCCGCCCCCGATGGTGGGGGTACCTCGGGCGGTGTGCCTGCTCGGTGGACTGGACTTCTCTCTCTTGTTTCGGAGCCTCGTGCTCATGGCGATGCAGCGGGCGTGGCACCCGGGCGCCCCAAGGAGGAGCCGCCGGGGGGGGGGGCGGGTGAGGCGTTTGCCCGTCGGCGCCCCTTTTATGGGGATGCGTCAGGCAGCTTGCCTGCTTGGTCGATCGAACACCTTTCTGTTCAGAGCCCCACGCTCATCCCGATGCAGCAGACGTGGCACTTCCGAGCCGAAAGGAGGAGCCGCCAGGGGCGGGGGCATCTGCCCGTCGCGTCCAGCTGATGGGGATGTCTCGGGCAGTTTGCCTGCTTGGTTGATCAGGTTTCTTTCTTTTCAGAGCCCCGTTCTCATTGCGATGTAGCAGGCGTGGCATTTGAGCACCCCAAGGGGAAGCCGCTTGGGGTGGGGACATGCGCGTATTTGCGCCCCAGTGGTGGGAATCTGTTCGTCGGTTTGCCTACTGATTGAACGGATTTTTATGTTTCCAGAGCGCCATGATTACCGCGATGCGGCAGGTGTGGCGTCTGAGCGCCCTGCGGGGGAGCCGCCAGAGTTGGGAACATGTGCTTGTTCGCGCCCAGGTGGTGGAGATGTCTCAGACGGCTTGATTTTGTTCGGTTTTGATCAGACTTCTCTCTTTTTTCAGGTGCCCATGCTTACGTGGCAGGCGTGGCGTTGTGCACCCCAAGGGGGATCCGCCAGGGATGGGGATGTTTGCCAGCTCGCGCCCTGATTGTTTGGATGCCTTAGGCGGTTTGCCTGTTTGGTCGATTGGACTTCTGTCTGCTCAGAGCCTGCTGTTCATCGCGATGTAGCACCTCAAGGGGGAGCCGGCAGGGGTGAAGACATTTGCCCGTTCGCGCCCCGATGGCGGGGACGCCTCCGGCGGCTTGCACTGCATCTTCCTCAGACAGGCAAATATTCTCTTACTAAGACACTTGCAGACGGGAGTGCCAGAAATGAGATGCCCACATGGGGGTCTCCGCGTTGACTATTTGTTGGAGGGGAGGGGGTACGGGCAAAGAGGTATTCTGCTGGTGCGTGTGTTGCAGTGTCCACCCGAAGTAAGCCTCGACGAGGGGCATGCTCCCTGTGCTTTGGCTGTAGTGTGATTTCAACACGTCGCTCAGACAGTTTTTCAAGATATAAGGGCTTGGTGTTCACTCAAGGCATATTGCAGATCTTCAGTTTCGATACTGAATGTGGTGTGCACTTGGGCATGCTTCGTGTGGCGCTGTGCGAGAAGCTGCGGCCAGCCATCTTGGCGGCAATCATGTTGCGCCCGTCTGCGCTGGGCTACGAAGTGGTTCGAGCGAGCGGCGAACAATAATATCATCATGTCAGCCAGAAGCGTACCATGGTTTTGGTCTCTTCTGTTATTCTGTCCAAGCAGGGTTATGATGGGCAGGGGGAGTCTGAGTACCTGCGACAATGACCCTTGTCCCATCAACGCGGGCGCGAGGAGCGTCAGAACTTGGTCACTCCTGAGCTTCTCCTCCTTTTCCTCCTCCTCCTCCTCCTCCTCCTCCTCCTCCTCCTCCTCCTCCTCCCACTCTCTCAAGACTGCTCCTTTCAAGCCAGACTTGGGTCAGTCTGGCGCGCAGCCCTATGCCATCCTGACTGTTTGTTCCTCCCCTTCCTCCTTCTCCTCTCCGCACTTCCTGTGGCCAGTGCTGTTCAACTTCTGGCGCGGGCCAGGGTTTTGAGAGTCCGTCGTGCGTGTGAGCCGGTATTGGCAGCCGCGCTGCCCACTCTCCCTCCTTGTTTTCCTCCTCCTCCTCGTCCCCCTTGTGATGACGCTGTGCCTCCTCCTCCTCCTCCACGTCCTCCTCCTCCTCCTCCTCCTCTCTCTTTCGACGACGCTGTGCCTCCTCCTCCTCCTCCTCCTCCTTCTCCTCCTTCAGCGTGTCGTTTGCTCCTCCTTCTCCTCCTCCTTCTCCTCCTCCTCCTCCTCATCCTCCTCCCCCTTTTGATGACGCTGTGCCTCCTCCTCCTCCTCCTCCTCCTTCGCCTCCTCCTCCTCCTCCCCCTGCTGCGGACTCGACCCCAAGGCGCTGCGGGGTGGTGTGCGGCGATCGGCGAGGGCAGATGCACTGCTGTTCGGAGGGGGAAGCAAGAGCTTGGCCATGCCTGAGGAATCCAGAGGTGGAGGGTTTCTCCGAAGGGCTCAGGCGACCCGTCCTCCTCCTCTCCTCCTCCTCCTTTTCCTCCTCCTCCGCCTCCTCCCCCTCCTTCCCCTCCTCCATCTCCTCCTCCTTCTCCTCCTCCTCCTCCTCCTCCTCCTCCTCCTCCTCCTCCTCCTCTCCTCCATCTCCTCCTCCTCCCCCTCCCCCTCCTCCCTCCTCCTCCTCCTCCTTCTCCTCTTTCTCCTCTCCTCCGCCTCCTCCACCTCCTCTCCTGCTCCCTCCTCCCCTCTCCTCCTCCTCCTCCTCCTCCTCCCTCCTCCTCCTCCTCCTCCTCCTCCTCCTGCTCCTTCCTCCTTGGGTCGCCTACGGCCCCGGGGGAAACCGTGTATCCAGAGGAGCCCAGGTGAATCCTGAAGTGCTGTTGATCAGTTGAGAGGGCTCGTGCCGAGGCTCGGTCTTAGAGCTAGGGGCTGAGACTCGGGCGAGATGATGGGGCGGGGGCCAGGGCGACAGCCCGGGGCTATGTCTGGCGGGCAGAGCCAGGGCTGGGGTCGCGCAGCTTCGCATCGCACGCACGCGCGTCACCCGCGACACGGTCCGGAGCTGACACATATTTCCCGGTGGAGGGCCTCCGTTTCACCTCGACCTCACCCCCCAACCTCCGATACTTGCTTCCTGTTGGTGTCCCCTGCTGCTCGCGCGCCCCGTGTGCGCTCGCGGTCGAGGATCTACCCAAGAAGAGCTCGCTCTGGCCCAGGGCAGGAAAGCGCTGACAGCATACGTATCGCACCTGACGGTGGGGATTGCGAACGCAGTCTCGTCTCTCCACCCCATTCTGTCCGTCTGCCGTCTCTCGAACATAGCGTCTCTCGAAGTAGGAAACATGGCGTAGACATAGACCTCCCGAGCTCCGTGCGGGTTGCCTGGGTCGGCGCTGGACCCCCCTCGCTGGCGCGCGGAGCGCGCCAGGGGCGGCGACGGGGCGCAGCCAATGGATCGGCCAGCGCCGATCCAAGACATCCGCGCGGACCTCCGAAAGCTGGCGTTATTGCAATTTGTCCTCCTGTATTCCCTGTCTTCCAGCCCTCTTCACCCCGTCGTGCCCCAAAGCTTCCTTTGCGTCCTCCTGGTGCTGTTTCCTTCTCCTCCCGCCCCTCTCCCTCCTTCATGCTGCCGCACCGGCATGAGGCTCACTCAGGTAGCCCGCTTCCGTTGCGGTGGGGTCTCGGAAGGATGGCAGGAGGGCAGGAAGAACAGGGGCAACAGAGGGGAGGAGATGTGATGGAGGAGATGGAAGGGAGGAGAGGGGGGGCGAAGGACGAGGGGACAGGAGGAGGTTGGAGAAGGGCAGGCCACGCGTGGGCATCTCTCACCTGGCATCCAACTTCTCGTTCCCATCCCGTGCCATGTCTTGCACTCGCTTCATGATCTACGCTCGTGTGGTGGTACGCGTTTCGCTTCCTCTCAGCATGCGATCGTTGCGGACTTTTTGGCTAAACAAGTACACGAGCAAGGAACGTGTTTGTCAGCGCGGATCCCAAACAGTGGGTCCTTGCACTTATGATGTGCGCTCGATGTAGTGCGGTGCATGGGAAATGCAATATGTGGGATACAACTTATGTGGTGCATTTTTTTGGATGCAGTACATGCTGTGCGTTCTATCTTATAATGCTGGCAATGTTGTGACGCTGGCGATGATTATGATGATGATGACGATGGACGACATCGTCGATTATGGCGATGACTGTTGTCGTGATGATATCGACGATGACGACACTGGTGATAATGATGATGATGATGGTGCTGCTGCTGCTGCTGCTGCTCATGATCAAGACGATGCCAATGATGACTCGGACGATAATTACAACGACTGTGCAGATGGTGATGCTGAGAAAGTGTCGGCGCAGAATGTTTAAGCGTTTGGCATTGTTCTATTTGGAACATTTGTGCTTCACATTCTGCTGAAGAGCTCTGTGCTGGAACGCCTCGTTATCGAATGGTTCTGGAAGCATCTCGGCGCGCGCGCGCGGCGAAGCGCGCGTGTGGCCCTCAGTGATGCATCGATGGCCGAAGAACTTTCGCGCGAGGCTCGTGGACTGCTTGCGACACGCGCGCGCGAGTGTGGCCCGCATGCTTCTCGTGTGGCGAGAGCCAAACGGATCTGAACATCATGTCGGCGAGCGCGCGCACAGGCGCGCGCGTGTGGCCCGCCTGCTTCTCGTGTGGCGAACGCCAAGGCTTTGAACGTCATGTCGGCGAGCGCGCGCGCAGAGATCCCAAACCCCCGACGTCATGATTTTTTCATGACGTCGACCTCCAGAGGTTTCGACCCCTTCCCTGGGACCAGCTTTTCATCCTGACTCGTTTTCTGACGGTCCCGAGGCCCAGCAAGGGCCCTCAGAGGCTGAAAATGAGGAAAACCCTCCCGTCGTGATTTTTTCGTTGCTCGAGGGGGTCTGGGATCGAAGGTGGACGAGTCTGAGATCCCAGCGTCGCAGCTCGTTCGCACCCGGCGCTTCTCCCACCAGACCCTCCTCTTTCGACTACACGTAAGAGTCACCCTTCGCTGGAGTGACCTCTGGTGCGCGCTCACGGGAGTCCCCGGATCGCCGCGCTCGGTGCGATCGTAGCGTCTTGCGCGCTTTACGTTTGGCCTCCTCGCGCCCCCACGAAAGCCGCGCACCAGAGGTCACTCCTGCCCGGGGCCACTCTTTTGCGTGCCGCCGCTTCTCCGGCCTCGGGCCCTCGCTCCGGTCGGCTCCTTGGCTCGCGAGAGCTGCCACGGCGCGGCGGTGTGGCGCCCAGGGCTCCGGCCCTGGCCTTGCTCCCGGCGCGGCAGCTCCTTCGCGACCTCGGCGCGCGCCGTGCGTGCTTCCCCCGCGTGGCGACGCGCGCGCCTCGGCTCGCGGGCCCGCGCGCGCCCGCGCCGTCGCGGGGGAAGCCGTCCTCCTCCTCCTCCTCCTCCTCCTCCTCCTCCTCCTCCTCCTCCTCCTCCCTCGTCCCCGTCGCGGCGCGCATTCTTTCTCTCACGCCTGCATCGCGCATCTCCCAAAGAGCCAGACTTACGGGTGTGGCCGTCGAAGGACGCCTACATCAGCTGGCCGCCGCCTTTCAACGCAATGGGCTCGATATTATAGGTATGCAAGAAACGCGAGTCAACGCCAAGGGCTCTGGCAAACGCCAAGTCCCCCCGTACATAGTTTTTCTGTCCGAGTCGCAAACGGGTACTCATGCTTGCGGCTGCGCGCTCTGGGTCAACCTTAGCACGCCCGTTTTTCCTAATGCCAAAGGCATCCCCACTTTTCCTATAAAGTCGCATAATGTGCGCATTGTACACCAAGACCCGCGAATCATCGCGGCCGTCATAAGTCAGAACGGCCTACGCTTCAGCATCCTAGTGGCGCATGCTCACCATTCCGGTCGTCCTCTCCATGAGCAGGCCGCATGGTGGCAGCACCTTCGACATGTGCATGACCATATTTTGCCGCAGCCCACTCCCACTCTGGTCCTCATGGACTCCAATGCTGCAGTAGGCACACAAACATCAGCGGCCATCGGTCCACAGCATGCGGAGCAGGTCAACACTGCTGGCTCCTTTTTCCATCGCTTCCTACTCGCCTCAAATCTCTGGCTGCCAGCCACCTTTGTGCCCCACCCTATGGGATCGGGCACATGGATTGCGCCAGCTCGCGACCCCGCCTTCAAACAACATTGGAAGCGCAGGGATTACATAGCTATCCCAATAGGCGCCTCAGCCACGGAGTGCGAGGTCGAGTACTCCCTTACCTTGGCACTCGCTGTACTAGACCACGCTGCTCCGTGCCTATCTTGCCGCTTCAAGCTTCAGCTGCGCCCGACCGAGGATCAGGGATGCCAGGCCATGCGTATCCCGCACGACCCTACAGCGTACCTCGACCCGACGGCCAGGCAGCTTTTTGAAGACACATTTAAGCCCCCTCCCGAACTTTTAACCTTCGACTTACATGCCTCTGACCACGCGCTCATCCTTGACCGGGAGGCGCGTAACGCCATGCTACAGGCATTCCCCCAACCCCGCACGGCAACAGGCCGCGCACCTACCAACTCCCGCATTTCCATGGCCACCCTCGTGCTTATGGATGCCAGAGCCCTGACCATAAGTAAGGCCAACACCCTGCAACGAGAGGCGTGCAACCTTTTATTGCGGGTAGCTATCGCGGCTTGGAAGCGATATTTGCGTTCCAGGCAAGCCTTTGCCCGTCCCCAAGCCACCTTGCTCCACCACGACGAGCGCTCGCTGATGCCCGCAGTCAATAACGCAATCGCCACGCTTGCGGAGCTCGGCGCTGCCCTGCGCAGCATGCGAGCCAGCGTGGCGGGCCCTAGCGCCTCCATTAAATGGAAGCCCCGGATGCGCATGGCCTGCTTGCACCAGTTTTTGGCGGTCTCTCCCATACGCGTTGCTCAAACCCGCTTTCCTCACGGCTGCTCCGCCCCTACCATAGGTACCGCATATGCAGCCGCCCTTCACCTACGAGCGCGCGCAAGCGCCCTAAGGGCTATCATCCTAGCTCAATTCACGCAGGCAGTCCGATGCTCCGTCGACTTGGACGCCTCTTTTCACCTGCAAGGTATTGCCGCCGAAGTGCACGAAGCATGGCAGACCTCACAACAGCGCACTGCCTTTGCGCGCCTCCGCACGCTCGGCGTTGGCTCTAAAAAGAAGCTACGCGCCTCACCCCTACCTATACTCTCCACAGCAGCGGGCACCTTCGTTGTCGACGCCACTCAGGCCGCCGACACCTGGCTCTCCCACTTTGCCCGACAAGAGCACGGTGCAGTCATCCCGCTCAAACAAGCCAAGGCCTACGATGCTAGTGCATCGTATCTGCCCGCCGACCTCACTGTGAATGTTCCCCCCCCTACTCACTCTTTACCCTAGCGCAAATTGAGCGCGCCTATGCCAGGGCCCCTGACTCTGCAGCCAGCGTAGACGGCTTCAAAGGAGCCTTTGTCAAGTCGTTTCACCGACTACTAGCAAAGCAGTATTACCCGGTCCACCTTGAGGCGCAGTTGCGCCTTGAGGAACCGCTGGCCTGGCGGGGAGGGTATAATTTCGACATTTTTAAAGGAAAAGGCAACCCAGCCATCATGGCCAACTCCCGCTCAGTAATGGCGTCCCCTCACTTTTCCAAGCGGCATCGAGCCCTCTTGCGAAAAGAACTGGTAGAATATCTCCCTCCCGTGGCAGGCGCCGCCCAGTCTGGCGGCATTGCTGGGCGAGGCACCGACTTTGCCACGCTCACGGTTCTAGCGCACCAGGCCTATGCGACCAGCCAGCGTACTTCCTCCGCGTACATATTTATAGATGCAGTTTCAGCCTTTTACAGGGCCCCCCGACAGCTCATATTTTATTGCGACTCGCAACAAGCTGACTTATATTACCTTGTTTCTTCCCTTGACCTTCCCCAAGAGACAGGCGAGGAGCTAATGCGACATTTGCTCTCTGCCCCTCCCATACTGCAGGAGGCTGGCCTTCCCTCGCACCTCCATGCCCAAATCTCGGTTGCATACGAGCACACCTGGGCCTTCTACCCTGGCGCCTCGGGGGTAGCTCTCACGCTCCGAGGTGCCATTCCAGGGCAGCAGCTCGGGGACGTTCTTTTCAACTTCCTCATGGCCCGAGCTAATAACGAAGCTGTTAAACAGCTCACAGACTCGCCGCTTGCCCATCTTATCCTCAAGGTCCAGGTGGACAAAGCTGCTCAACGATCTTTTTACGCTCGCCACAAGGACAGCTTGGACTCCTCCGATACG